GGTTGTAAAAGTCCTTGGAACAAATTGTGACATGATTTTTATTGCTTAGATGATTAGACGAGCTCACCTCCCATCTAGTGTTAAGTGGTTACCGAAGCCCATAGATATTAACAATCTAAATGCCGCCACCCAGCTCGAGACAAGAGTTCTAAGGTCTCAGTTTTAACAGTACAACGGCTACCACGCCCTACAAACCAAAACGCATTACTGCTTCACGGCAGAAATAGGCAGGGTAGTGGTACCTGCCCATGCGGACTCACAAGACTTCTTAGCACCAGCAACAAAGAAGAAGAAACTCTTCTTCTTGCTCTTAACCCACATTACGTGGGGCGGCGTAGTTTTTACGCTGTATAGAGATTTGGCATTCTCCGGATATTCTTAGCGGGTCGCGATTCCGATCCGGTAGTAGATTCATTCGCGAAGCAGCTGCTCTTGAGTTGTTAGGTCTCCTTCGGAGGCGCTCGGGCAGCTGTTAGTAAATCCCACCCCTCCGTCTGAGCCTTTGCTCGCCCACCTGTCCTGGTGACACTGGGCAGAACTCAGGGCCACCAGTAATCATTCGTTCAAAAAAAAAAAGGATATGGCATGAGTTTTACGATTGGGTAGTAGTAGAGTCATATTTCCAGTAGTATAACCAGTGCAATGTTCAGTTTGATATTTATTACATAAATTCAGTTCAAAACCTATTTCAGTAAAAGCTATCAAGGCTTATTGCGGTCCGTGTTTCGTGAGTTTAGCGATTTCATCGTTTCAACGCACGTTTTAGTATTTTACTAGCTGACCCGGCAGACTTCGTAGTGCCTCAATTGACAAATAAAAGACCTAAACTTTTCTATAAAATAAAACAACCAAAAGGAATACGTCTGGCGGGGGACACATTCTTTCCGAGCATTTTCATATTTATCTATATTTTAAACCTTAGTTGGACTTCCACAAATAATTTAAGACCAAAATGAGCCAAATCGGTCGAGCTGTTCTCGAATTTTAGCGAGACTAACGAACAGCAATTAATTTTTATATATATAGATAAGTGTGCACTCTTGAATAGAAACACTAAATCGACGAGTGAAAAGCCATTTGGCTTAAAGTTTAGGCGGCAATTTGGCAACTTTATAGTTGAGCCATTTAAAGATTAAAATTTGGAAAAATAATCATAAAGGTAGGTACCACCACCGTGCCTATTTCTGCCGTGAAACAGTAATGCGTTTCGGTTTGAAGGGTGGTCTCAAGGTGGGTGGCAGTATCTACGTTGTAGATGTCTATGGGCTCCAGTAACCACTTAACACCGGGTGGGCTGTGAGCTCGTCCACCCAACTAAGCAATAAAAAAAAAAGATTTGAAGTAAGGTTCTTCGCCCGATTATACGCTATACAATGAGATTAGTTTTTCGTTTGCGATAAATGTCCTATGAAATGCTTTAACATTTACAAGTTTCATAATCTTTCATAACACAGGCCAACGGATAATTTGATAGCCCAGTTCTAGGGCATCTCGGAACGGAGAGAGCAAACGTTTAGAAACATTCCCGGTACGAAGCTGGAGTTGAGCCAGCGCTTTAATAGACGACAACAAGTTTCATCTTTATTATAGCTACGTATGCATCTCATAACGACAATAAACACGTTTTTAACCGTTATTTATGAATTATTCAATAAATTAAAGTGCAAACGCAGGTGGTAATTGATTTTGTTTAATTTCTCGCAAATTTTTTTGTATCATCGAACTTTCTGTGATTAGTTACACAATAAGGCAAAGGCTCCGTGCGGAAACCAAGGGATCCGCAACTACCCAGGTGTTTACGGAAAGAATTCAGTGCTCTCTGTATTTTTAATACGCTTTTATTAGTTTCAGACGGATGAACGTGATTTTGACCCCCTTCAAAACGTCGGATTAACTCGAAATTTGGTATACTTATTAAAGACCGTGACAATACAATATTTAAAAAAAATTTAAAAGGAAGAATTGAAAAAATTGCATTTCAACTAAAAAATCAAAAATAAATAATAATTTAAAAAAACTAACAAAATACGCTTTTATAGAAAATCCAACTAAAACATAGAAAATAAATGGTAATAAATTTGAATTAAAAATAGTGTAAGAAAAAATGATTTTATTGTAAAAAAAGCGCGGTGTGCATGGTATCCGTAGTTATAAATATTTTATGAACAGATATGAGTAGAAGGGTTATTTTGATAATATCCTGAAAAGCACCTGAAGCGCGTCAAAATATTCTCACTCCTTTTAGGGCATTTTTTCGGTCAAGATCAGTTAAAAACCATTTATCCACGAAACTTAGTTTAAATTAAGCTGCATTGTGACTTAATCGATGATTATGATGCTGATTTTGACAACCGGGCAGGCTCACGTAATCTCTTGTCCTAAACATAGATCTCGTACACCATCTAATAATAACGCCTACAAAACCTAATGACAAAGAAATACCAGAAACCCCTGCCGACGTGCCCGACATACTTCCAGCGCGACAGCTTCGAAAAGGCCACGTGAATATCGACCGTAGCGGCTTAGTTACGTAAGCCGAATAACTCTGCGGCTATCATATAGAATGTCAGCTAACCGAGCGAGGTGGTTAGCAATACGTAGTTATCAATATCATTTCAGCTATTAATAGGAATGGTTGTTATTGGAAAATTCAAACTCGAAGTCAAGGAAGCTGTCAGAATTCAAGGAGATTAAAACAGTGAGCAAATTTTCCAAGTCTGACCCAAAGGAACTTTGATAAACATGTTTTGTTTTATGTAGGTAGTTTGTGCTTTTTGATAGGAAAATCTTTAGATGCTTAGATGTAATTTTTTTACATAATCGTCTTTGACCAACAGTTTTTGACTTATTATATAAGTTATTGTTGAAAACGACAAACGAAAGGATAAATCTAAGATTATTAAAAGAAAAAATGATAAAGGATATATGATAAATTGCCATATACAAGAATTACACACAGATACTACATAATGCACAACACGCAAAATCGTTTCGCTGAAAATTACCTACACGCTTAGACCAACGGAAGTCACATGAACAGTGCGTAGGTACATCCGGCTATTAATCAGAAGATGTGACCTTAGCCTTTTTGTGCTATCAAGCTAGTCTTCCATACTATTTATTTTCAATAAGTACCTACTGTTTTAGTTATCGGGATAAAATCGAGATGCTGTAACTTGGTCCGTTGAATTGCCTTAACAATCGTCGGCCGGTAGGTACTATAATATATATTATTATAGTATTCGTTCTTTTCAATTTCTCGGACATGCGCACATCGGCCCATCGTTTCGTGACGCAAGCTACAATCGTGATTCGTTCTACTCCTACTAGGCTCAAGAAGACTCCGTGAGACCATCATCGCGAACTATCGAGATGTCTTTAAAGTCGATTTATATTATGTTTCACCAGGACAATGGTACCATTGCCCCGATCCGGTAGTAGATTCATTCGCGAAGCAACTGCTCTTGAGTTATTAGGTCTCCTTCGGAGGCGCTCGGGCAGCTGTTAGCAAATCCCACCCTTTTTAGCTGAGCCTTTGCTCGCCCACCTGTCCTGGTGAAACTGGAAAGGCCTCAGGGCAACCAGTAATCCTTCGATCATAAAAAAAAACCAGTGCCCTGCTTATCTTCGATAAAATCAGAGTGGAAGAGTCGTTATTTCGATATTGTCTAAATTTCCACCTCATGCCTCACGGCTCGCGACTTCACGTTGGTCTAATGGGTCTCTGATAATGGCATCAATTCTAAAAAAAATTTTGGTGCCGTACATAATTTAAAAAGTCTCTTCTGCAATTCAAATGCCAAGCTTTCAAATGCTAAAGGTCAGATTCCACCCTCTACCCACAAGGGTGGCTAGCATCCCCCCAGCTAGGCAGCGCAGGCCTTACATAACTTGACCTACATTCTAGATGACGGAGCTAAAATAGGCCGAGAGTCTCCACGTATAATGAACGAGCTTCCTGTGCATTATTAAAGTGTTTTAGCTTTATTTTTTACCAAGAAATTTTCTTACATTATTTGCAAAAAACTCACGGTAACTAGAAACTAAGGATCATGTTATAGAAAGAAACGAGAAATGGTAAATGAGGCCAAATGTTTTTTTTTAAATGAACCGATTAAAATTTGAAAATTAATCACAGCAGAACATTTATAAAATAGTTATGGTTTCCATTTTAATTCCTACTAAGTTGATTAATGTTCGTAATCTACCAAGGTTCAAAGATGGTGCCTAGCTGATGCCGACAAGGCATTGATAATTAGTCCTAAATGGTACAAGCGGACATCACCGTCACGTCACACCGCCGTCGTCACATGTAGAGTGTACCTTAAACACCTACCATCAACATGAATTGTGCAACCTTTACTTTGGTGCAATATCTCACATATAAAACTCACTATAGTTACAAACCGAAATTTAATTCGATCAGTTAAGCTTATTAACAACTTCGACACCATTACGTTAGGAGAATATTATAGTATCGATTCACAAAATGGAGAAAACGTACTATTCTTGATAATGCGTAAAGTTTCGATTTATGTGATCAAATCACATACTAAGTATCGAACTGTATTTAAAAAAGGAAAAGCTGTTCTGATAAAGTTGGTTATAGTTATTATTTAAAACATTATCACCGTTCCACCAATTAATTTTAAATGTTAAATGCATAAATTAGATTAAGTGTTAGTTGTAAACTTACAATATTAACAATTGATCATGGGTAAATGCGATTCAGCACCATAATGATACTTAATGAAGTATTCTTCGAAAATTCAATTTATCAGTACAAAAAAAAAAAAACGTTAGTTTAAAATTAGCTAGCGCCTTAACTTATACACTTAGCAAAATCTCGTAACAGAGTACGAGAGGAATAAAATATGAAAGGGTCCAAGTGTTAGACTAATATTAGCTCAGCGCCTGGAGTAAGTAGGGACGCACTGCGCCGCTTACACAATGATTCATTCTTGCTAATTTACAAATAAATTATGGTAAAGATAACTCACACGTAATAGTTGTACGCGATCCCGATGTACCAGAGCATGAAGATAATAATACCGGATGTTTCTGCCATTGTGCTCTATTAACTACTGAAAATAAACGAATTCATTAATTTTACTTCTTAACGGGTTTTTATTAATTTTACTTAGAAGTAGCTCGATAAATAAGTGTTTGAAGTAAGTTTCAATGTATTAAGTTTAATGTACAAACTATGCTACTTTTCCAGAATACTCGTATTATTTGCAAGTAATCAGAATAGCATGGTACACTAGGGCTGGCGTGATGTTGAACTTGGAGCAAAGAGTCTCTTCTTGGAAGCCCATATAGTGCCCGTGTGAAATCAGTACCCTACCGCCCTCTAGTAAGCGCGCGGTCAAAATGGAATTTATATCAATGTAATAGGTTCATTGGTAATGCCGGTGAGTAAATTAACCCACAGACAGCGCACTGAGATTCTCGCCGGATCTTCTCAGTGGGTCGCGATCCAGCGGTAGATTCTGCGAGGCACTGCTCTTGCTAGGGTTAGTGTTAGCGGCGACGTCAGATTTGAGTCCTGTGAACTCACCTACTTGTTATGGTTACGCTGAAATGGTCTCTCAAGACCATCAGCTTAGGTAGGAAAAAAAAAACTAATACCGAGGCCGGTACCCATCACCATAGACTAAAGCAGCCTCTGACTTGGAGACAGGTAACGTAATATTTACAGGCCGGAATGCCACTACACTCCATAAGCGACCTCATGCAATTCTATTGTTTTTTTTCCCTACCTATTCTAGTAATCTCGTGGGGTTATACTAGATTCACAGAACGAGTAGGTGAGCTCACGGAACTCTAATCACTGTGGTTAGTGAGAGTTCTTTAACGTTCTCGATAGCCTAAACGTTAGCTCATATTTGTATGGAATGGGATCGTTTGCGTACGTTTGCCGCTAGGGGCGCTGTTCCAACTGCGTACAAAATTGGGTTAACTTTTACGCTATCGAGAAACTCGCACTAAGCACAATGACGACGTTGCTAACACTATCCCTGGTAAGAGCAGTGCTTTGCAGAATCTACCAACGGATCGGAAACGCGACCCACTGATAAGATCCGGTGAGTGGGGTATATTAGAGGCTCAATGGGCTATATTATTGTGTACCTGCTGTTTTACGCTTGAAGGCTTCGCGGCAGAAATAGGCAAGGTGGTACCTAAAAGTCAGGTCTGAAGTCGTCGTAGCCTAAAAGATAAGACGTCCAGTGCATTCAATTTTTTTTATGAAACACGTAGGTACTCAACAATTATGTTCTAGATTGATTTCCACGGTGAAGGAATAACATCGTGTAATAAAAATCAAACCCGCAAAATTCTAATTTGCGTAATTACTGGTGGTAGGATCTCTTGTGAGTCCGCGCGGGTAGGTACCACCACCCAACCTATTTCTGCCGTGAAGCAGTAATGCGTTTCGGTTTGAAGGGTGGGGCATCGGTTGTAACTATACTTGAAACCTTAGAACTTATATCTCAAGGTGGGTGGCGCATTTACGTCATAGATGTCTATGGGCTCCAGTAACCACTTAACACCAGGTGGGCTGTGAGTTCGTCCACCCATATAAGTATAAAAAAAGGCCTCTAAATAACCCTCGCCGCCACAAAAAACCTTAGTCCTATGATGAGAATGTAGCAAAGTATAAAATTAAGACCAAAATATACCGTTATGTGTTAGAGAAAATTTTAAGGCAAGATGGTATCAGTGATTTTTGATAATTGGTCCAGATTTGACTTTGGTTTTTTTCGGGGCGGTTTGCCTAGTGATAAGGTACACTAGAATCCATAGACACTATACAAGAATATCGGCACCCACCTTTTAAAGTTGTTCAGGTTCAACTTTCGGTAACCACTTATTGCAAATGGTGACATGATGCAGTTGTAATTTTTATTATTGTTATGAGAATATTTCGATTATTTAATGTTGCATCGTGTTATTTTATTATTCCACTATGTTATTAATTTTCTTCGAAAACATTATCACATGTTATTGCATTTTCCTGAACATTTGTCAAAGTCATTAACTTAAATTCGTAGAAATTAAAATAGGTAGAATCTAATGAGGTTATTTTTGTTGAAATATGAATTACCTATTTTAACAATGTAGACAAATAAAATCATTTTTAATCAGGAAAATAATTGCATTAGAAAATACGGTTTTATCCGGAAATATATACCTCCAGTATTTACCTACCTTGAAACTGGAATGCACTAGCTCCAACGGTATTCTCAAGCTGATGGATATTCCTTCAAAGTGGTATGTATTTATTATACTGTCATTTTGCTGTTGTCCATAGGCAGCAGTGATCACTTTGCATTAGGTGGGCTACAGGCTAAATGCCGCCACCTACCTTGAGATATAAGTTCTAAAGTCTCAGTTTTAACAGTACAGCGGCTGCCCCACACTTCAAACCGAAATGCATTACTGCTTCTCGGCAGAAATAGGCAGGATGGTGGTACCTACGCGTGGGTACTCACAAGATGTCCTACCGGACGTCCTAGTCGGCCTATTTGAATTTAAATTTAAATAATTTTACTTACATAAATATTGTCTTTTCGATACAAAAAATCTAATAGGCCATGGACAATCTAATATTAAAAATAAAACAACAGTAGTATTGTAACAGATAATATTTTATATTCTCTAACTCTATGGCACAATATGTGTAAACACAGTTTCTAATATTACCAAATTTTGTTTCTATGTTAATTCCCATTCTTTTTCAATTAACATGATATTTAAATACTTATAACTTCATATTTATATTATACAATATCATGCAAAAAACACATTATGATAACGTATACATTTATTAATAGAAAAATATATAAATGTTAATATGTAATATATTCTCTGGAAAAAAATTATAATTTTATTACATTACGCTGCTACTGAGAATCCGCTCTGTAGTTTCTCAACGTAGTCCTTCCGGCAAGGCATCTCATCGGCCGGCCTGTTGTAAGGCAACCAAACCGGCTCACCAATGAAGAAACGTTTCGCTTTTATGTAGTTCTGTAAAAATATTTTCATACTGTTAATAAATAGATTTCCTTAAGATATAGATAAATAGATTTTCTTTCATTACTTTCCTATAATCGTGCTTTCGGCCACCTGATGATAAGTGGTTACTGTGCCCGTAGACATCATAACCTAAATTCCATCTATTCAGTATAAAGCATGGGAACAACCGTTATACAATTGAGACTTCAATTTAATGTCTCAAAGTGGGCAGCCTGCATTTCTGCTCATTAGACAAAATACAAATATTCTAAATAACTATTTACCCAGATTTTACTCATGAACAAAGCTTTTATGTAGACCAGTTGTCAGTATACTTGCAAATAATCTTGACTTAGCTGGACATAGCTATGATCCCACATGGTTTTGTTTCACAATATGCCCCTTATCAGAATACAACCTTCCTTTCAAGTTTGACGTTGATGTTGTTTGAGTTTAATGATGATAACCATTACTCCGATACCATGATCTCGACCAACACAGACCTTAAAGTTCTAAGTGATTACAAAGTCTAAATATTTAATGGCCTTCTATTCCTGACAAGTCATATAAAGTCCAAGCGGCTTTTTTCTGTATATGCTTAAGTAAAAGCAACATCAACATGTGTGCATCACAGCATGTCTCAATGACCAAATTAGACTAGTTTCTTAATAGACTCTTGTCTCTTTGATATTATTCCTGAGCAGAGTTTGAAACCGACAGTTTTGCTAGAATACATACATTGGTGTCCAAGGTAAACCTGTGGTAGATACCGCTCGGGATGATCAGCATGTCTCCCTTAGACACGGCAATACGGATCCATTGATCCTCACCATCTCTCACGTCAAAGTAACCAGAGCCGTCTAGGATAAACCTGGAAAGAAATAATTCAATTATAAACATTTTACCTTATATAAATTTAATTTTTCCTGTGATGTTTATATTATATTTAATTTTAATACGTTCAAAAAAATAATGACAGGTGGACCATTTTTCGCAACTTCTAAAAACTTCACTATTTGTATTTTGAATAAATGTGGAATTGTGAAATTTGAGTAATATTATAAATATGCTAATAATTAAAGGTAATCATCATTAGCATGCCATAGACATATTAATAATGTTTTAATAATAATATTTAATATTTATTCAAGCCTCTTAAAATGCAAACACGTACAATAATTCTTAACACTAGTATAATAATATACATGGCTTTTTTATGACGTATACAATAACAAAATTCCCTGACTTTTATGCTAGGAAAACCTGTGTTACAAAAGTCAGTGGTTCAGTGCTAGGTCACCAGGTAAAGAATTATTAGATTTAAAATATAGTAGATAACAGTTTTCCATAAAAATTACAAGTGATCACCCACACCATGAGTAGTGTTGTTTTGCTACCACATCAGTTGGTCACAAATTCATCAACAATTCAATTATATTGACCAGGAGAGTTGCTAGCTTATGGAAAAAATCAACTAAATCCCCCATCAATTTTGCAGTTACAATATGCATTCAAATTTATGACCACTTCTAGTAGAATAGTTGTTAATAGTAATTTGTTTATAATTGTGTTTTATTTGCTTTTCACTTTTTGTATCCATTTTAAAGTTTTTTTATTTTTTTTTTTTTATTTCTTAGATGGGCGAACGAGCTTACAGCCCACCTGGTGTTAAGTGGTTACTGGAGCCCATAGACATCTACAACGTAAATGCGTCACCCACCTTGAGATATAAGTTCTAAGATCTCAGCATAGTTACATCGGCTGCCCTACCCTTTAGACCGAAACGCATTACTGCTTCACGGCAGAAATAGGCGGGGCGGTGGTACCTACCCGCGCGGACTCACAAGAGGTCCTACCACCAGTAATTACGCAAATTATAAATTTGCGGGTTTGATTTCTATTACACGATGTTATTCATTCACAGTGTAAGTCAATCGTAAACATTTGTTGAGTACGTATTTCATTAGAAAAATTGGTACCCGCGTGCGGGATTCGAACACCAGTGTATCGCTTCAACACGTATGCACCGGACGTCTTATCCTTTAGGCCACGACGGCTTCACATCGACGAGTTTATCACTTTGCCTTATCATTTAAATATTAGATCAATAAAACAAAAACAAAAACTGTTTTACCTAATTTCCTCATCGGTATGCAAGTGCTCAGTGTAAAACGATTTTATCTTCTCCTCATAATTCGGAAGACATTCCTTGGAACAGACCATCTCATCTTCATATGTATAACCTCGTTCATTCTTAAGTTTTTCTAGTACTCCATCAGTTTTATATGTGTCTATGTTTATCTGTGTATATTTGGAAATCATTAGAGTGATTTGTTTTTGAGCTGAAACTTCTTCAGTGGTAATTAAATAAATGATAAGTTGTTACAAATTTAAAGAACATTTTAGAGACCTATTACATTTCATTACATGAGACAGAAGGATAATATACAGTAATATAGCAAACAAGAGCAATATATTCCTATACCACAGTAGTAATGATCTCTGATAACCTTAGAGATATTTGTTACTGCATAGCTTTGACTCCATACAGTCGAGGGCCAGGAAGTTAAGTATGAAATATTGGCTACATTTGTAAAAAATATATCATAAAGTCAACCTAGCCTAGAAGATAAGACATCCAGTGAATTTGTATCGAGCCATGTGACTGTGCCGATGTTTGGATCCCACAAACAGGTACCATTTTCTAATGAAATATGTAATTAATAAATGTTTACAAATACTTCCTTAATAAAGAAATTGCATAGTGCATAAAAATCAGACCAACAAAAATCATAATTTGCATCATTACTAGTTGTGGGGCACCTTGTGAGCCCGCATGGATAAACAATTCAATATATTTTATTACTTAAATATTCTTGAATATTCTAAGATTGTTAATAGCAACCTAATTAACATTTTGAACCCAAGCTTTGCTATCACTTCTTTAATAATAACATTATCATCAAATGTTCGAGAAAAAAAATGATAACAACTTAATATGTATGTTTAAAGTACTTCTAACTTACTTTAAAATATTCAACCCCCGTTTTAGAGAATAAATCATCCAGAGAAATATATTCTGGAGGATTTTTATGGTGTTGCAGCCGCTGGTCCGTTGTTTCACTATCCATATACCATGCTTGTACCATTTTAAAAACAAAAATAATTATATATGTACATACGTAAACAATTTAACTCACTACCTATCCGACGAAGTGATACCTACACACACACTTAAAAAGAAATTATTTACTTAGCGCTTGTCAAAAATGATTTTCTTTACGGTCCACAGTGAAACGACTTTTAGCCAATCGTAGCTGTGTTCTAAATCATAGATAATACACAAAAATGTTTACGGGCGTCGGCCACTAGATGGTTTCGCTTCGATCAGTTTTTCATTGCTCTTGTAGATGGCAGGAACATTAATTTGTGGTTACTGAAAATTTATAAAATCCTTCAATAAAAATAAAATAGAATAACCTATCCTCTATTTTATTTTTAAAGAAGGATTCTATAAATTTTCAGTAACCACAAATTAATAAAAATTAATCAATTTGTCTATAACAAAGAAATACTTGTATGATTTATGATTTTTTCTATTTTGTGTGTGTTAGTTATACAATAATTAAAAGTCGTAACGACATATAAGTTTAGGGGCAACCGCTACAAGATGTCGATAGTTTCCACACAAAAAAAAAATTGTCTTATAGTACCGTATCGCAGTTTCAGGACCCTGTTTTAAATTTATAAGCAACCTCTTTTGACTATTTGGTGGGAATGCAAAAAGCAAAGTGTGTAGGTATCGTTCCATTTTGTTAGTGTTTCTTCTTCAGATTTTAACTTGTAATAATTAATTACAGTCAAACCTGGTTAAGAGAGAGTTCAAGGGAGCACAATCTCATTCTCGCTTATAGAGGTTTCTCACTAACCCGAGTTTCTCGCTAATGCTCCCTCTGAATTTTATTTCGCGATTTTCTGGATTCAAACGCATTCAGTTTATCACTTAATGACAGTACTTTAATTTTCCGTTTTGACATGATGCAGGACAGAACTTTTCTTCGCAATTGATTAACGATAAACTGAGTAAGTCCGACAAACAGGACCGTACACAGGCACACGTGTCCATTCGAAAAGAAAGCGATAAAATAACAACGTTATTTAGTTCCACGAAATAGAATAGGTTCAATATTGACGAGAAAACAATTTAAAAACAATGGTAAAAAGTTCCACAAAAGTTAACAATGAGTCATAAAATAACAGATGTTAAACTTGTAATTTGTTTTTTTATTAGTTCCTCCTAAATAATATAAATAAATAAAGCTCGACTCTCGCTTAAAGAGGTATAGATAAGAAGTAGTCTCACTTACGGAGGTCCATGAGGGAAAAACGACTCTCTCTTACAGAGGTTTCTGTTTCTCTCTAATAGAGGTTTTGGGAGCTTAAAATGACGGGTCCTGGCTATTACTCTCACTTATAGAGTTTTCTCACTTATCCAGTTCTCACTTACCCAGGTTTGGCTGTATCAGTATACATCTAGCATCTGTGAAAGTGCCCAAGTGCAGGAAAATAAAATCTAATAGGATTCATATTAGGTCTTTACCTACGAAATTGCCGTTTAGTTTAAAGAAAGATTTTTAATTAAAAAAATATATTTCTGTCAATCAAATTAAGCACCCATATTATCGAAAAACCTATGCCAGCACAGTAGTCATTTTCAATGCCCTTTTTGGAGAACCCAGGTGTACGGGAAACAATGGCATTTTGTACTGCCTCTCGGGGATTTTTTTTCCCTGCCCAGCAGTACAATTTTTGGACGGTGGGTGATGTAAATTTTTAAACCCTAGCTCTTGTAACTTAGAGACCGTCTGTAGTGTCGAATGAGATCGAGTGTTGTCATTTAGAAGCAATAAGTACGAGCGGTAGACCAAAGTTAGTCGCAGATTCACAAGCTTCTCCATCGTTGTCTGCACCTCGCTGTACACGCGGTATCGCTGGTACCCTTTGATAAGAAGTTGTAATTAATTATACAGGCCCTAGCCATCAAACAGTGACAATGAATTTTATAGGGATAAGTTTTCGTTTGGGACATTTTTAGGTGGTATATCAGGGTTTAACCAACATGACCGCTTACGATTATCAACAAGAATCTATTCTTCACCGCAAGTGACAGTACGGATCAAAATCACTTCGTTTCTGTGTCTGATAAGCAGAGCAAGGCAAAGGCTTAACGCGTAAGTTGTGCTGGCGAAGGTTCTCCAAATCGTGTGATATCTACAAAGTTTTTTTTTGCTTGCCAATTTGATGCAAATGATCCAATGGCGGTTGGGGCCTGAAAGTTCCTGAGTGGCGACCGCGTACCGGAAGATGTAGCGTGGGTAGGCCTCTCACAAGATGGTCCGACGATCTATTGATGTTCGTGGGGATCCGCTGGATGCAGGCAGCGCCGGACCGATCTTTGTGGCGAGGCTTGCGGGATAGTCTAAGATCCGGCTGCAGGATTAGTGCGCTCATTGGATTTTTGCTAAAATCAAAATTTTATTTATACATAGGTCATAAATTCTGTCACATGTTTAATGTAAAATAATTGAAACAAGTTTATTCATTATGTAACCATTCATATACCAAAATGAACTTAACAAAACATAGATTCTTATGACACTAAAGTTTATTCAAAATGACCTCCGTGATTTTGAATACAGGCCTTCAATCTGCGCGGCCAGTCGTCTATCGCAGCACGAACGAGGTCCATGTCAATATCGGCGGCTGCCTTAATCAAGGATGTCTTGAGTGACTCCAAATTGGGATGAGGCTTTGAGCACGCCTTTTCCTCCAAGTGTTGCCATATCTTGTAATCTAACGGAATCAAATCTGGACTGGAGGAGGGTCAGTCTTCGTGCCGGATGAAGTCGATTTCACGCGCCGCCAGCTAGTCTTGTGTGCTCTTCGCTCTATGAGCTGGCGCCGAATCTTGTTGGATTACCCAGTGCCTGTTATTGAACATGGTATGAGAAACAGGTACCACAAGGTTCGTCAGGACTGTATTTTGATACACAACTGCATTCGTTTTTACACCTTTGTCACAAAAATGTACCTCTGGTAAGCCCCAATAAGAAACTCCCAACCATACCATGAGCGAGGATGGCAAATGACCTCGTTGGACACGCGGAATACGGTTGCTCGCTTCTTCACTACTGTGTGCGTACACCTTATCATTTTGTTTGTTGTAGCTCTCTTCTACGGTAAAAATTTTGTCATCCGAAAAAAGAATTTCCCGATATATTTTTCCCGCGTACCGCTTCAACAGAGCGCGGCATCTCTTCAGTCTCAGGTCCATTAGACGAGCATTCAAACGATGTCCTATTTTTCTTCGATATGCCCGAAGCCCTAAGTCTTCATTTAACACCCTTTTCACCGTGGTTCTGCTTAACCCCATCTGAAGGGCCAACAGTTTTTGCTTACGTTTGGGATTTCTTTGAATTCGCGCCTTCACAGCTTTTATCACTGCTGGAATCCTAACAGACCGAGGGCGACCACTTCTTGACCTGTCATCTACACTAGAGTCTTCATTGTATTGTTTGATGGTACGATAAACGAATCTTTTGGTTATAATCAAATTTTTCAGTATGTTAAAAATTTGAATTGGCGCGTAACCGCAACGATGCAACGCAATAACTGCAACACGGTCTTCTTTAAGCGTCCACTCCATATTTAAAAATGAGTAAAATTCTAAAAGTATACCGTAAAATGGGGCGATTAGGGATTGAAAGGCGAATCGGGAAAAAACCGGGAAAATCTTTCGACGCTCAATATAAGTTTTATATTCGTTGCAAAATCTTCCATTTTTTGTAGTTTAATAGTGGAATGTTGAAAGTTCACAAAACAACTCTGAATATGCATGATAATAGCTGCTAACTTATAAAAAATCGCGTTTCAAATTAACTTCCTGTGGTGGTAATTATTTTAGTGCTAGAAACTTTGCTCTCTTTTATTTATTTGATAATAATAGAAGACGACTGTGATTTATAAACGTTATTTAGTGCATGAATCAGCATATATATTAAAGGTAAGTCTCAGTTGTTATTGGTTTTAATGTATTTGATAAAATAAAAATACATGTAAAAATCTGTTGTTTTCTGGGATATTGGGGACGTCTTAGGTATAAATAACAACGAAAAAGGGGTCAATTGGGATGAGAATACGTGAAATGGAAACGACCTAAGTATAAATAGGTACAGGTTTGTAGGGTTGTCTATGTAGTTATAACAATATTTTTTAAATTTGTTGGTAAAAATCTGGTTTATTCATGATGTTTTTGTCTAGAATTTTTATTCAAAATTATCAATGTGTTATTTTATTGTTTGGTAAATATTTATATTATCAGTTACATATTGTTTTCTATTTTTAAAGAGTGCAAAACCTTGAGATATGATCCCTTAATATTAAAAAACAGCAATAGAAGCCTATGAAATTGGGAACAAGTCTTTAGTTGAAATAGATAAGCAATTTAATATAAGTAAGTCGATTTTGCACAGACATGTAACAAGAACAATGAAATCTCAAGGTGGACAAAAATGTCTAAGTAATACATAATAAAATATTTAATATTTGTTCAGAGTGGGGGTATTCATCTGATTAATCCTTGGAATAACCGACACACCTAATTTCTTAACCCAGATAGAAATATCAGCCCCTAAGTACTTACCAAGAACGGAGAAATATAAACCGTTTCTAAGAAAGCTCACTATATATATATTTTGTTGTTAATGCACTGTCGATTGCACCTATAATTGAGGTGACATCTACCATTTACTTTTGTCAGTTTTTCAATTTTTTTTATTGATGATCACTTTGTTGGTGCAACTAAATAAATAAATAAATTTAACTATATATAAAAATAAAAGTAGTGCCAACCCTAGCAAATTTCTCATTTCGTCCCAATTAACCGCAATTTCCGGGTAAATAGGGATTACACCTATTTTTGCATTTTTTGCTTAAACTGGAATGCTAGTTGCATAATTTTATATTGGACAACAAAGATGCCCCCAAGACTTAATCATTTTGATCCTGATATAGCATTATATACATCAACAACTACCTTAAAATTGGTCATAAAGTTGGAATTTGTCCCTAATCGCCCCATTTAACGGTACTATTTTTATTTTAATGAACAATTCGAAATTCGAATTCAATAAACTTTTTTGTGGCCAGCATTCTAAAAGAAAAGTTTTTACTGTGTGACAATACTTATGACCTGACTAGGTACATATTTATAATTAGGAGAATAGATATCTACCAGGTTGCCTATCAAAATTTGGACGCTAGTATTTTTAATTTATTTTTGGGAAATAACTTCGTTCACTTGCTTTTTTAAATAAATGCTCGTATACATCACGGTATTTTAATTAAAGATTCTAACCCATTACGGTTGCCATTACGCACCTGGCCGCATCTCTTCACAGCCAGGTGTAAACAGGCATGATGTCGACACATTTATACGTTTATAACGAACATCTATGAATTATATATCAAATTAAAGGCATTTTTTTATTGATTGTCATAAATGGTTGCCTAATCAAATCTGGCCGTAAATAAGGGTTGCTGGCTGTTAAAGATGATAAATATTTTAGGTAGAGTAGCGCGTAACATAATAGAACAGACGAAGACAGCTCATGGTTGGAAGTGGTCATCACCACTCTCAAACAGGACGTCAGCAGAAAGAAGAAATTTATTTCTCAAGAAAAGAAACTTCGTTACGAGTTAAAATAGATTTATTATTTCTTTAATTAATAATACAATTAATTAGGTACGTCTATTTTACAATGTCGGGGTTATCTATAGCCTCAGACTATAGCGAAGATTTATTTAAACCACTCCGAAATTTATGGCAAACGTATACACAGACTGTAGCAAGTTTGAGTTAATAATGTAATAGTTTTAACGTTGAAAAAATACGAATAGCTTTGACCGTAGCTGGCTCCGTGCACACATCTCTGGAATATACCGACGCCATTTTAAATGTTTGAATTAGGTACTTTTAAATTACGATTTATAAATATATTAGGATTTTATTAAATATGTATTGTACTTATTTTTTCATAAACTAATCAACTCAAGTAATTTTAAAACATTTTTTTTTTCTTGTTTTATTTTACACATCACATTAGAACTCAAGTAGGTAATAATATTCTAATAAAAAAATCTGTAATTAATATTTAAGACGTTGAGTTCTATTGTTAGCAAAGATTTTGTACATAACATCATTAAAATGATTTAATTATTTCAATGATTTTTTTTTATTCTTGCAATAAATCAGTATAATAATTAATGTATTTACTTATACATCTAAAAATTACCAAACGTATTTTGATATGATTTCTTTAGTTTACATTTTAAAACAAAAAAGAACATTTAAAAAGCGTACATAAACAAATCAAAATGGACGGATATATCACAAGTATAATAGTGAAGTTCTTTTCATCTCGAAAGGGAAAAACATTTTAAAATGTTTAAAATAGGAAAAATAAAGCTTAATTATGAACAACGAAAAAAAAATATTTTCATTAAAAACATACAATTAAAAAGCTTTTAAACTTTTTGCATTAACTGGGAACACAACAATAAAGAAAACAAAACGTAACACGAATTCAAAAACTGTAATGCCCAGTGTTTTTATCCGTATTATGGATTTGCAAGTGAACTAAGCGTTTTAATGTTACAATGTTATAAATTGTCGACAGTTGACCAACCGTGAGCTACCGTATAAACAGTTCAAGTAGTGTTTTTTTTACTGCTTAGATGGGTGGACGAGCTCACAGCCCACCTGGTGTTAAGTGGTTACTGGAGCCCATAGTGCGCCACCCACCTTGAGATATAAGTTCTAAGGTCTCAGTATAGTTACAACGGCTGCCCCACCCTTCAAACCGAAACGCATTACTGCTTCACGGCAAAAATAGGCAGGGCGGTGGTACCTATACGCGCGGACTCACAAGAGGTCCTACCATCAGTAATCACAAGAGGTCCCACCATCAGTGTGCTCCAGAATGTTCAGGAAAACTGAATATTGCATGTGTATAGCCTTTCGTATACCACCTGTGGGTAGTCGACAATAACACCCGCCATTGTTGTCAACTTTTCACTTCATTCTCCTCGAGGCTCTAGGTTCGGTGCAACGTCAACTTAACTTTTTAATGTTCTACGATCTTAAATTTTAGTTTTGGAAACTATGTTCCCTATTTAATTAAAAAATACATTCTTCAATTAACTAACAATTAACTACAAGTACATTTAAAAGTGTATTCAACCGTTCTTTTACTTATCGAATGTAGCTTATTGATTACGTCTCAAAAACACTTGTTGAGATCATATTTTATTTATTTTAAATCTGTTTTAGTACCTATATGTAACGTGACTTATATATTTTTTACAGTTATATATCCGCTTACACTGTTTATACGAGAAATCGACCCAAATGGTTCCGTACGAAGCGGCGCTTGAAAATAAAAGCGTATATAAAAGAAAGTTTGTATGTCCCAATAATTAAATGCAGCAACGAGCGTGGTGGTAAATTTTGGCGCCAAATATAGTTTTTTTTTTTTTGATGCTTGGGCAGATTATTTAATGAGTGCATGAGTGAATAGACATTCTTTTCTAATTTCCTGGTAATTGGTTAGTTAGTTGCAGCTTGGATGTTATGCGAAGCAATATTATATTTGGGAGTTAACGGCAAAGGAAAGATCTTCCACCGAGCGGTACAATTGCTCGGTAGAAACAAACAAATGAATTTATATATGTATACATGCAAACTTATCTTGAAACTGTTGTTAGCGAGATTTAATTTTACGCATCTGTCAAATATCTTTTTTTAAAGGGATTTTATGACCTGGTAACTAAGACCTTTAAGTCATGTCTTATTATAATTTATATTCTTATATTTATGAAAAATGATAATATGGAGTGAAATGAAATGAAATGATATGATATGGGATGAAATATAATTGTCAAATATCTTGTGTTCTATGATGGCTACTCGCTACATGTATATAGGATACGAACGATGCATCTTCGCAATGTAATGTATCATTAACGATACATGTGGAGGAAGAGCGTCGGACGCACCGTTATCATGTCTTTATCAAGCTCAAACTTTTTGGTTGGTCTTTGACGAATAATAAATTTAAATAATCTTGAACACAAAATCAATAAATGTTGATAACTTGTAACCTTGTAACCACTGGATCGATAACTCGTCTAGCTTCAGAGTGAACGGCAAAATAACATAACATTCATTCAATAGTAGAATCATCTACAGAAACTCTGTCATTTATGCTGTGTTTTAAACTACAACTTATTTCTAAAGTTCAGTATCCGCCATAAGTACATTAATATCTAACCTAACCTAACCTAACCTAACCTAACATTTATATCTCAAGAAAAAATATTATCACAATAGTACAAACTATTTACAATGATTATCACTAATTAATTTCATTATTAGAACTCACATCAATAATATAGATTCTAGAATTTAAAAATACATTTCAAATTTTATACAGAAATGATTATGTTTTAATTATTGTAATGAATCAAAATAATAATTCCCGGCGTCAGAGCAAAAAGGTCAGATATGTAAATTGAAAATAATAATTTTTCAGAACCACTTTTTTCTACCCACGTTTTTTTAAAAACCCTATTAAGTACAATTGTATTATCCAATACCTTCAAATTGTAAAATAAAATAAATTTGTCCTTTTCGCTCTTCTTATATTGAGAGGTAATAAATGTATTTTAAGATTTCCTGATTTTGAACACTTCTTCATGTCCATAACACAATTGCATGCAATGTTTTATTTTAATTATACAGCTTGAAAAATAATAAGATAAATTATTATATTAATTAACGAAATGATCACTTTGAAATCGACATAGTTTTGGAGCCACCTATTTAGATTCTAAACAATAATACAATCTAAAATTATTGATTAAGCTCCGCTGTTATGGTGTAGCGGAAAGTTATCATTAATCTAAGAAGCACATTGCAATTTTGATTGCAATCGAACTTTGATGACAAATGAAATTAAAAATCAAAATTTTATTAAAGCCATATGATTATAATAATCAGGTTGGTAAATTTATGCAGAGGGTATGTACCTACATTTAGATTACATATTTGTGTTTATTTTAAACTGTCAAAATGTGAATCATGATCTCATCGATATTGTTTATTATTATGTTAATCAATGCTGTCAATGTCATTGGTTGTCAATCTTGACAAGCAAAGATAAAAATGTCTCGATAAATTTTCATTTTAAGGTAAATTTTAGTTATCATAATTATGAAAAAAATGGAACATGCATCAAGAAACTCTATGTGCTGCCGCGAAGTATTCGTTTGTTGTGGTTTGAAGGGTAGCCGTTATTATAATAAAATTTAGTCGAAGTTTATCATCATATTTAACACATTCATGTTTCAATGGTGATCTGTAATACCTATTCGTTTCAAGCATGGAGGGTAGAGGTAAGGAGAACCGTCTCTGTGCGTGAAAAGTGTCCGTTAATTAAAATCTGCTAAATAAGGGTGGCGCTACAGTAGCAACCAGGTAGATTTTAAAAAAGGCGCTCAAAGTTATTAGAATAAGATAGAGAAATAAAAAAAGGACGAAAGAACTGTAAGCACTACAAAATCACAAAAAGTATTTTATTTAAAGGTGATAAAAAAATGCAATCGACGTCGCCACGTTTTACCACAGCAATAATTTTAGGTTATATTGACGAAATTAGTTTGGACTACGTAAACATGTGAGGTCTTGTATATTATACTGTCACTAACTACTCTAGTCATTAAATATTTTAAATTTCCTAACTCAGCATACTTCAATCAGTTAACAACTGCTCAATTCATGTCATACCCTGTGCCTATGCTAGCGCCATTCTGGAGGATTTTTGAACTGTTATTTATTGCTGATAGTGGGACACTTTTTCAAGATTCTCCCATATGAGACGGTTCTCCTTACCTCTACCCTCCATAGTTTCAGGCGGCATGCAAATCATGTGATCGTACATTTACTTTGTGTAATAAAAAGGTTTATATCGTGAAACGAAGGCTTTTAGAGTTCTTCAGAGTCATCAAAACTCAGTTTCGATTATTCTGAAAAAATATACTTAAATAAGTAAAATTTATATAATAAATTCACTTCTGCGATCGAATACTATTTAGAAATATTAAAAACTAAATTTAAAATTTCCAAATAGTTTGAAACAACGAAATAATAGTTTGACATTACAAAGCTTAATACATCTTATAAAACATGAATAAAGAACTGTCTACCTAGGACTATGTATAACAGTTTTGATAAGAAATGTTTTTTTTTATTCTGTCTTCAATTAAGTATCCAACGGTAGGCAGCAGCTTTTCTGCCCCTGGCATTACTGAAGTCCATGGGCGCCGGTAACCACTTATTATCAGGTAGGTCGTATGCTCGTCTGTCTACATGGGCAATAAAAAAAATCAATTCCACATGTATCTATTTTTAAATGGTGCTGCGGAGACAAAATCCTAAAGCTTAAAGTGTCTAATATTTGCCTAGCTAGGAACGAGATAAGATGTATTCTGTTGTGATTGTTTTCACACCTTGAAAGTACAAAAATTGTAATCTACAAGGCCGAGCCTATTATCGGAATTCAGCAGAAATAATGACTATCCCTTCGAAATGGAAACCAACAATGGCTTTGCTGCAGAAATAAGTTTGATGATGCTATAACTGATTGAATTACTCAGCTTTAATCAGCTCTTGTGAAAAAATGTATTATTTAATAGTACATAATAATTATAATACAAATTAACTGCTATTCAGGCTACCTTTGATCACACAAAAAAGTTGCAACACTCAATACCTTTATAACTTTAACTAAAATTCAAAATTTCATGAAAGATTGGTAATAAATTTAAATAAATAAAATAATAAAACAAAATCAGATCAAATTACAACTGTGATGTAACCCTCCAGCATAGTTTTACCTTTTAATAAGTATATTGCAAATAAAATGGTTTGTTTAGCGGTTTGTGACATCACAAGACATGTGACCAATCCAATATTTCTGTTGTAGAATAGAGTTGATGGTTACTTCAGCTCGAACTATATTTTCATTACAGTCAAATATTTTATTCTGTTATTATCATGTTTCCTTATACCATTATGTCTCAACCTTTTAGTGTCCCAATTGCAAGATGACCCAAGATTTAAAGTAGTAAACAGTCATCAGGATATTTTAATCACTGTGACCCCAAGGTTGAGAAACAATGATTAAGTATAACATGGTCAAACTTGCATTGTTATAGTTTAGTATGTTTTACTGTATCTGTCCAGTAGTTCTGTATTGTCATGGCTTCCAGGGAGTTCAGAAACGAATCATTGTCCAGACTGTACATCTCTTCAGAGTTATCCTGAAAATTAAAAAGAAAATATAAGTGATTAAAATACTTTTTAGGAAAGTGATTTTAATTAAACTTTTTTTAACTAACTTTACGCTTATATTGGTGGTAAGTTTAATTACCTCTGATACATATACTTGTAAGGTGTCTGCACGGATAGGCACCACTCTACCTATTACTGCTGTGATGCGATAATGCGTTTTGATTTGAGGGTGACCCTTGTACTATTAATCCGAAACTTCGAATTCATGTCCCCAGGTGGGTGGTGGCATTTACGTTAACGTCTATTGGATCCGGTAATCACTTAAGGTTATATGTTATACCCGGCGGTACGGCATATTATAATTCGACCATATTAGCAGTTTTTTGCCGAAAAGCAGCGATTGATTCCAGTTTGAACAGTAGAATGGTTATTATGTGGGTGGGTGGCGCATTTACGTCGTAGATGTCTATGGGCTCCAGTAACCACTTAACACCAGTTGGGTTGTGAGTTCGTCGATCCATCTAAGCAATAAAAATACAAAACAATTGAGTTAAAAATGCAACGACATTATTGTTAGGTTGCTGTTTCTTATTAGATTAGCATGTAGCTACACATTTAACATGTTTATCGCAAACTTAATATACCATGAACTGTAATTAATTGATGTAAGTTACACATTGTGTGTAAGAAAAAATTAAAATTGTGTAAGATTAATAACGTTGTATAACACAATGCTCTAGTATGCTATTGATGATTATGTCATGTGATATGTATTATCTGCAACCGAATAAAGGTAATCTGTATAAGTTGAGTTGGGCTGCCTATTGTTTCAAGATAATAGATTTCTGATTAGAAGCATTTAGACCGACAGTTCGGTAAGGCGTGACACGCACTTATTAAGATAATAGAAAACTTTAAGCGATATGTTATTTTTGTGTAGAGGGCTGAATAAAAGCCGAATTGAGTATCACCATATTTTTTTTACCGGTACGATTACCGGTAAACCGGTTTTAGTTTATGTGTGATATAACGTAATGTTGTATAAAAAATGCATGCGACATTTTCAAGGCGATTGCCATAGTTGATTTGCTTGGCACGTGGGTTGGCGTATATCCTCAAAGAACATAAAATATGTTATTCTTGGATTTTTATTATTATATATTTTATGAAATAAGTTTTTATTCATACCTATCTTTTTTTTTAATATCAGTATATACTAAGATTGTATCCTTATGTGTATAAAAACTGGTGGTTATTTGTATATTAGGTACTCTTATAAGCATTCATATCAGAATAAGCATTTTAATAGATTTATGGTAAGCAATCGTATTTTCGTTGTTGGCTGTTTTGTGAATATTATTGATATTGTTCCACTATTTTACAGGACGGGACGTGTCGTCTTAACCCAATAGAATTATTTTGTTATAGCATATGGGCGCTTGGGCATTTTTCTAGGTTATTTTTTAGGCTGTTGTTTGTCTATAATGTAAAAGGAAATTATTCAAAGTTAATGTAAGTCAATTATTTTCAAAATTATCAATTGTAGTCAAATATCATCAATTATTTTTTCTCTAATTGACTGTCATTTTCTTTAGAACTTTCTTTAATTGCGTGAAATGGTAAACAGTCGACGTAATCCTAAACACGTCATTACGTATCCTCCCGATCTATGAACGATGCTTTTAGGTACCACAAGCACCGGTCACCGTACTCGCCGAACCCGTCGCTAGCGACGAAGGGATCGACGAGTAAATTAACCCATAGACACAGCCCATTGAGTTTCCCTTGGATCTTCTCAGTGGGTCGCGTTTTCGATTCGGTGGTAGATTCTACGAAGCACTGCTCTTGCTAGGGTCAGCGTTAGCAACACTCCGGTTTGAGCCCCGTGAACTCACCTACACGTCAAGGAGAAGCTGAAATAGCCTCTCAAGGCTATCAGGATAGGTAGGAGTATTAAAAAAAAGTCAAATGTGCAAAAACAATAAGATGATACGGGCATTTTCAATGCAAAAGTTCAAAATGGGTCATTTGACCCATTATGGTTTTTTTAGAGTTAAATAAGAATTTTAATATACATACCCTAACAGTGCTGTCGTCAAGATAACCACTCGAGTCGGGATTCGAGCATTTGTCATTCAAGGTCTGGGGCTTGTTCAGGTATCTCCTCCTGTACAGCACGAAAGCTATACTGCCAGCCAGCGCTGCCAACACCACACCAGCAAAAGCGATACCCGCTATAACTCCCGTGTCTATTCCTCGTTCCTCTTCCACCATTCTCCTGGAAGACTCTACGTTCGGTATTCTCGTGTGAGAGAAGGCGGTCTCCAAAGACAATGGTTTCTCGGTCACGATCCTGCTGTCAGGAATTCCCTCGATGTGGGTCAAATCTTTGATGTACTCTTCCCTCGTGAGGTTGTTTGCATTTGACGGTGTCGTCGTGACGTCATCTGTCACGTTGGTTGTCAAAGTTGTATTGACAGTACTATTCTGTACTGTTACGTTTGCGTTGGCCGCGGTCCACTGTATCGCTGGGTGAACGATCTCGGTCACGTTGACTTGGGTAACGTTGGTCGCCAATATTGGCTCGTCAGTTTGGTTGTTTAACGTAATGTTTTTTACCAACGGGTGTGGGGTTGTGATGATTACAGTTTTGCTGATGTACAGAGCACGGTTTTGTCGTTCCGAATGTCGTTCCGTTTCTAGCTCAGTTGTTATGTGCAGGAGCTCTTCAGACTGGGGGGCACCGAAAGCCGATTCGCTGCCTGAAAACGTTAATACTTGTTATTAATCATAACGATTTTCAAAAGCACAATATGGTCACGTTGTGAAGGATTTAGGCGAGACGACGAGAAGGGCTCGTAGTTTTCTAACTTAGGTGGAAGGACGAGCTCACGACTCACGTGGTGATAAGTGGTCACCATAGCCCATAGACATCTATGGGTGGTGATCCATCTTGAGACATGAGTTCTAAGTCTCTGTTTTTACAGTACCACATTTGCCCCACTCTTCAAACCGAAAACGCATTAGGTACTGATTCACGGCTGAAGTAGGCAGGGTGGTGGTAACTACCCGCGCGGATTCACAAGGCGTCCTACCTGTAAATTAATGGTATTTGGGAAGGAGTGACAGTAGCCTGTCCTGTACAGTCGGAGGTAGCGTATTTTTGTTTTAACATAATAGCCAGAGATATTATCGTTAAGATCCTGTTTTGTTCCGATCTAATTAATATTTCCTTTCCAGAAACTCCTACACATCAAAAAGCAAATACCGCCAACCACCTTGAGACTAGAGGTTGTAGTCTCAATTATATTGCATTACTGTGCTTTGTTGTCCCGTGCTTCGAGAAAGAACGCGGATTTGCTTCGCGCCAGAAATGGGCGTCATGCCATCATTTGAACATCAACCTATGCGGGCCTAATTAAGTAAACCACTCAGATCGAACAATGATGATCACGTATATTAATATCAACACAACTAATATAATTTCAGAGTGTGTTTCCTTCCAGGAAAAACCGTGCAAAAGGACCGTGGTTTTTATTATCAGCGTTGTTGGCTATCTCAGAATAAAAAATGTATTTAATTATTTTTGAGAAGTACTACATTTGTAATAACTACAAATTTAACACTGGCGTAGATTTTGCAAAGCTGAAAATGTTGTTTTTCGAATAGAACTAAGAAATCGTTTCACGATGCCTTCATTAAATCTAGGGCTTGTTTCCAACTTACAACAGTCAATTTACGCAGCTAATGATATAAGAGTAACCGTCTTAGCTTCCTACCCGAATAAAACGTGATTGAATCGAAGGAGCCTCGAGCTGTAATCGTGTCGGCTTTTACGAGGTCGTTTGCACCCGACGCACGACGACCAGCGCCGTTCCCAACACTAGAAGAGTAATACGGGAGACCTACTTATTGCGAAAATCATTTTCAGCGTATTCGTGTGGAGTTTTTGTCTTTTTTTTATTGATATCTTTGTCCTTTCTATAATTCTTAAACGCGTCGATTTAGATTCACTGAGATCGAAATATAATTCGTATTTTTGCTCAATAATCGAACGTCACCATCATCACTGGCACATCGATATTAATTTTAGATTAATCGTATGTTTTACATTTTATCCTTTATATCATTTTTAATAACCTAAACTGAAATAAAAAATAAATAAAAACAAACTGTTCAATAGCTAATCTATTCTATATCTCTATATATAAAAATGAATTGCTGTTCGTTAGTCTCGCTAAAACTGGAGAACGGCTGGACCGATTTGGCTAATTTTGGCCTTGAATTATTTGTGGAAGTCCAGAGAAGGTTCAAAAGTTAGATAAATATGAAAATGCTCGGAATTAAATAAAAATAACAGTTTTGTTTTTCCTTTGATGTGTCCCCCGTCGGACGGATTCCTTTTGTTTGTTTTAAGTTTATTTTATACAAAAGTTTAGGTCTTTTATTTATCGATTGAGGCACTACGAAGTTTGCCGGGTCAGCTAGTAAACAAATAAAAATGAAAATGCGGTTTAAAACTTTAAAAAAAACGCGTTTAGATAATCAAACCGAACTAAAAATTGTACTTTTAATTTCGATATAGAGAATTAGGTTAGAATATTAGGCCCAAAGCAATAAAATTAATATATTATCATTGCTATTTATAAGATTAAAGGTTTTATCTTTGCCTATTAATAAAGCGGTAACGCCATCTAATTACCAATAATGCAAATACTTATAAATTCTTATTTGAGAGTGCTATATACCAGTATGTAATCTGTGACACTAACATTACCGCATGTGTATTTATTATCTACGCCACAGCCAAATGAAAAAAAAAATTTTTGTGGATGAAAAAAGGTTGCAATTTTGTGATAATTTTTTTATTTGCGTTCAGGCGTACGAACACTCATTCAGCCAGGCTTATGTGGTCAATGTAGCAGGTTTTAATGCCGGATTCACAAAATGACCCCAGCCATTAACCAGTCAAATATACTGTTGGTACCTAATAAATCGAACGATCGACCTTTGCTTTCCGCCCTGAATGCTACGGCCACAGTCAAGTATTGGAGGTATCTTGTTTTTTACATGAATACTGTGAAGGGAGGGCGGTCATTATCGGCGTCGGGTCAGAGGTCGAGGTCATTTCGTTATTGATGAAAATTAAATGAAATATAAAAGAGCTTATCGTTTTGCATACATTGTCGAGAGATAAATGCACATACAAAATAGAAAACGGCTGAACAGACCTGGATTTTTCAAGAAATCTTTAGTTGGATAAAAGTCGGTCAGTAATGTGGGTCGGGTTTGATTAACATTCAATAAAATTGAAACTTAATCTTCTTATAAAGGTGAATGGCAGCATTTCCATTTTTATTTTATCTATAACGATCTGGTAATAACAGATTACTGAAACCCATTAGATCTCGCGGCGTCATTTCCGCCACACACTTTAATACCCAAGGTTCTGCGAAACACTGCTCTTGCTAAGCAAATTTATTCAGGTTGGCTAGTGTCCGCATGTAGTTGGAATAGCCTAGACTACCAGCAAATAGGTAGAAAATAAAAAAAACACGAGGTCTTAATTGTGTAATGGTCACCTTCAAATTACAAATAATCGTGTCGCGGCAGTTTTTTTTTTTGGTCAGGTGGAAATCGCCGGACTTCCGCCCTCCACTGGTGTTGGCGGGCGGAGCATGTCGGAGTCGAACCGACTAAAACCTCCTGTCGCTCAACAACCAACGTCCAAACCTCACATGAGACAGAACTCATGAAAAGGCAAAGGGGGAAAGCGAAGTGTTTAGTGCGGAGCACATCTCTGCCGTGACCCTCCGTCTCGGGACGCCGGACTGGCGGTCGTCGGCGCCACGACCACCAGCCCTCTCGGTCGGCAGGCTATCCGGAGCTCGCCTAGATGGCGCCGGTTAGAGTGACTTATCCTACGGAATACCCCGCTGGGTCAGAACCAGCGTGGGTCGGGAATAGCCGGCCTTCCATCACCCGGATGCTCTTGCGTAAAACGCGTGCAGAGCAGCTTGCACGTCGTCTTCTTAGGTCCCCCTCGCCGATCCACAGACCGACATGTGAGGGGGACCCGAAACACTTAGAGGGCCAGGGCTAGGGCGAGATCCGCCTCCCTGGCCCCCGCTCGACGGCGGCGGGATTGTGCGTCTCTCACGCGCCCCGCCGCCTCCTTCTGCGAGATGGTGCACTCGCAGAAGTCGAACATCGCCTTCCACGACTCGTCGCCGAGCATCGATGCCACAACACTCGGCAACGACAAGTCGTTAAGCGGCTACGACTAACTTGATTTTTAAACATAAAAATACTATATAAAACAGGACCCATATAGTTACACTTAAATGATATTTAAAACTCATTTTGAATAGAGATACAGTTTAAAATTACGAAAAAAAGAATTAAAAAAAAACAATTAGGAAAGTCATTTACGGAGATTCTCATATTACTCAGTCTCGCGGTGATTCATACGAGTAAATGATGTCAGAATACATTTCATTGTACACGGTTAATATTATAACTGACCGATAGAATTTAAGCAAGCCTCGCTTTCATTCATACATATGAAGACGACACTATGTCTAATTCTTCCCTGAAATGCTAATGAAGGTGGCAGAAAGTTTCAAAGCAATCGAATAAAAAGCGCAAAAGTTCACGAACAAGCACGTTAACGAACACATTCATTTGATGTAGATGATTAGAATATATTTCTTTAACGCAGGGGCTCCCAAACTTATTTTGTCTACTGCCCACTTTGAGAATAAATTTTTTTGCGCCCCCATTTTGTCACCTACTTAAAGACCACTATAGCGAGAGCTCAGTCGGTGCCGAAGAGTCCTCCTAGATAAAATTACAAATCGGCTCCCAAGCTTCTACACAGTGCCCTCAATTTTTTTCTGGGTCTCTTACCGCCCCCTTTTAGGCCTGCAGCGCCAATAAGGGAGCGTTATCGCCCACTCTGGGAAAGGCTGCTTTAGCGTATATTAGGAGTTCGAGTGAAGTCAGGCGTAACGCATGTAACTGGTCGTCCGAAATTAATGCGATTGGTGTTCAGAGACGATGGGGTTCAATCAAGTGTCGAGCAAATAAATACCTGATCACATCTCCAAACAATAATCAAGAAATATTTAAAAGGTCGTCGTGTATTATGTACAAAACAAAATTCCTATTTTAATCAACAAAGCACTTTATTTTATTTGTTTCAATTATTCGGTCTTTCCCAGAGTCGACTAGATATTTCGGCGTCTTAGTAACAGAAATAGAAATAATTACTCAGTGCGCCGCGTAGGACACCGGTGACCTACACGGCAGTCAAAAGGTTAAGGTTAAAGGTAAGGTAAGGTAAGGGTAAGGTTAAAAAATCATTAAATTCTTCGAGCGAAGAAAAGGTTAAAAAGGTTAAAAAAAAAATAGTAGTTTTTGGAACGAAGTTCCTTATGGGACGATGCGGAGGGGTACCCTAACCGGGAAAAACGTCCGTAACGTAAGATTTATATTATTTATGTATAGTCTTAGTATGATGGCTGTACAGTGTCAAATGTGTAGTCTACGTGATGACGGTTATTATTATTATTAATATAAAATTCGGTTTCTTTGTATATTATTATTATATATTTTTTATAAATCATTGTGAATAAAATAAAGTTTATAACTTTGTAAAGTAGTTTTATTTTATTTTTATCAATAAAAAAATCATAATAAAAAATGTATACCCGAATAATTACTTTCTTTATACCTCGAATATAACTTAAAGTTAATATTC